ACTAAAGAAACCTAAACATTTTCGATAACCGGACGTTTTTGCGCTTGTAATACATCTTGCATTCATGAAATGTCTGACTGGTCGCTGTCCTTATGGAATGGTACGCAGTTGACTAATCGATCTACCTTTACCCTTGACAACGCTCATTTTGCGATATACATGGCGGTATCCTGCCCGGCTTGCCTGTTCACCATCGCAGTCTACTTCCTCCTCGTTGCCCTGAACTTTCGCCAGCGTTTCTCCTGTCCGGTCCTCGTTTCCTTTATCTCACCAATTCCTGACGGAAATGCTAATGGTCGCTGTGCACTGGCCACTCCTTCTGTTGCAGATGTTGTTATCTCGCCACGGAATTTTCACCAGCAACATTTTCTGCCGGCACTTCTACTTCTTCCATGAGATCAGTATGACGACCGCGTTATGGGGACTCTCCGCCTTGGCTTTAACCGCTTCATCGCCATTATCTACCCGCATCACTACGCTCGCTTTGCTCATCAACGATTTCTTGTAGCGCAAGTGTTATCCTTCTGGATTCTAGGAATCGGGGCCCATCTGCCGTTTCTACGTGGTCCCGAGCGGCTTCATTGCGGAACCGCCCTGGACATTGTGCACTCGCCCATCAAGGCGGCTGGCTGTTCGAAATAGCGGCGACTTTGCGTTTACCTCCCGTTGGCCGTAGCCGGCATTCTGTATATTTTGTCCTGTGGCATGTGACTGCCTCCCGGCGGCGCACACAGCGCAATGCAGCACACGTAGCGGTTACTACAGCGCCGGGTAGTGCCACCTACCGGAAGCGCGTGCTGCTGGCCAAGACGCTCTTCGCTAACTGGATCGTTCACTGTATGTGTTTTGCATCGCCGCCAATTGTGGTCGCTGCTGCCCCTATGGACGTTCAGTCAACTGATGGTTTACCGTGGCTGCGCTGATATTTTTTTCTCCGGATATTTGTCCACACCGGTAAGGTATTTTTCTCAATTTTCTTCTTCAAAAATATGTCTGGCAAAATAACTAAAAAATTTACGACTTAAAATTTCGCGCAGGTGCTGTTCTACGATGAATATGAATGCCGGAGGCGGTCAACAGTACACTGACTTGCACGCAGACACCTTTGGCAAAACCCATTGCGGCTATGAGCTATTCAAAAAGTCGTAGAGACCAGAAAGCGACAAGGGTCTCTGCGTGCACTAGCAGATGATTAGGACGGTTAATGCGATCGATAGCCCATGGCTGATGTCAAATTCGGTGATCTATTGACTGAATTATTCTGACGTTTGAAAATATTGAGAAACCGGATTTGCATTATTCATTCTACCCGTGATTAATATTTGTTGAAACTGTATCTTCTTGCTCATGTATAACTGCATCCGGGAACATAATTATGTTGTTATTTAAACCCCTTCATTTCAATCTCTATGTACTATCCAGTTATTTAAAGAGAAATATTAGGTTAATTAAAATATTTCATTGTGACGCAAGTAATTAAACCACCCAACCTCTTTAAGCACGCAGAATTTTCACCGGAAATATAATGATGATCACATACACCAACATGCGGAAACTGGAAGCCAACAGCGCCGGTGTTCGCGGTAACATCCGCAATCCTCATTACCGAGAAAATGCGCAGTCGTCCATGCTGACCCGGTGATGGGGCTGATTAAATCAGCATAGCTCAATGTCGTTCATTCGCCAAAGAGAACGCCCTGGTGGGCTCAATTTTCGTTAGACTGCCTGTGCAAAAATTACGGTGTCACCGGTGCAAATGCTAGCATGAACATGGTTTTGTGTTCGGCGTTAAGTACTTGGATTTGTCTCACATTTTGGTCACTTTAAGTTGACGGTTTCGTATTTTGGTCACCCGGTGCTAAAATTTTCTAACAACCAAAAACACCAGAAATGAACAGCTTTCATACTAAACGCTTCGCCCATGAATTTCGAAGCATCGATTTAGAAGAGTTCTCCCAAGAAAACCAAATGAAGAACAGAGAAACTGCCATGTATAAGAACCTCTCTTCCACGTTTACTAATTTCAGAAATTTGAGATTCCAACATAATCAATCGGTTTTGATGACTACAGACCATAAAACACTAATCAGAGAGAACATCAGCTATTCCTGTATCGCGCCACAGTGGTGGGCTGTGTAAGTGACCGTTGACCAAAATAGGAAATCGTATACTTACAGTAACCGAAATATCAGACAAATCCAAATACAATTACAGATATAGGTCCTTATCCTCTAATCGCACGTGTCCTTGGCGCATTTTATGCACATTTCATACGCTTACGACATCATTTTAGCAAAAAGAGAGTTTCTCGCCGTGTAGGTCAAAAAATACTATTAGTACCCGTTATGATAAGAATGGGAGACATACACTTAAGAGGGCCAGTCAGCTATTTCCTGACTCCTAAACGTTTTCCTTCGGATTTTTTTTATGTCGGATTCAGAAAAGTTTTTCCTACAATTTTGAAATTTAAAGTTGGTTCACCTGTTTTTTATTTATTTATGAATAAAATCGATGACGAAAGCACATAAGCACACTTATCTTGCTGTAGTGCAGTGGCTCGCGTGGTGGTTGGCAAGCTGTCATCGGTTTTATATCGCAGTAACTAAAAAAACGAGACAGCTTGTAGTCTGAATTTGCTCGAACCCTCTTACCAGCCGCCGTAACCCCTGATGATCAACGAGAAGATCAGCCAGTTGAATATTGTGCAGCCGCTTGCAGCTTATCCCTAAACACCAAGCGTTGTTCCTGTTGAAGAACTGCCTTGGAGTGCCAAAATTGTGCATATATTGCGCAATTCCTCGCATGGATGTTCCCACAAGAGTTGTACAGGCTGGACCAAGTATTTCGCGAGACGGCGGAGATCATCAACAATGTGAAGATGGACCCAACGTGGCTCCAGCCTCCTCTCCCGTTCGTTTCTGGTGGTTTGGGGATCAGACGTAATTGAGAAGCTAGCTCCTTCTGCCTACTTGGCATCGGCTTCCTCGTTGCACCCACTGATTTCCAGATTATGCCCGACACTGACGGCCACGGATGTCGTTACCGTCACGCGCGCCTGGAAGTTAGAAGCAGACACTGACGAACTTCCGGTGGAAGCTTTCCGACACGTCCAGAAAGCATGGGACACTCCCACGACACTGCAGACATTTTCAAGGCTGACCGCACTACGGACTTCACAGGAGGAAGTTGCGCATCTTAAGGCGGTATCAGTCCCGGAAGCAGGCTTGTGGATCCATGCATTACCGGCAGCTTGCCTTGGTAATCTGTTAGATGACAACGCTTTTCGCATAAGTGTCGCGCTGCGTTTGGGAGCACCGATCGTCACTCCACACGTATGCGTTTGTGGTGGGCTGGTCGACGAGTTCGGCCGGCACGGACTACGCTGTAAACGGTCTGCTGGAAGATTACCACGACACGACGGAATCAGCGCGGAGTTCACCCGGGGCCTAAAATCAGCTGGCTTTCCTTCGAGAATGGGACCAAAAGGTTTATCCTTGAAGATAAGAAGAGGCCGGATGTGATCACCCTCATTCCGTGGAAGCGCGGAAAACCGCTGGCAGTGGATGTTACCTGCGTGGACACGCTGGCAGCCTCGTATATCGACCGCACTTCCGTGAATGCCGGCGCAGCAGCCGAACTCGCTGAAAGGAAGAAACTAGCGAAACACGCTTGGATGCAAACAAGATACGATTTCGTTGCCGCAGCCTTCGAAATTTATGGACCTTTTGGAGACGGTACTAAAAAGCTAGTGGAAACGGTTGGAAACGGTATTGCGGCTTCAACTGGCCAAAAGCGGGCGAAAGAGTTTTTTAAACAGCGAATATCTATGCAAATACAACGGGGAAACGCGATTTGTGTAATGGGTACGATCCCCGACCAGGATAGCATAGAGGAAGTGTTTCTTTTGTAAATGCCGTTTTGTTCTGGTGCATAGTTTGCACTCGTACCACGATACTTTTTTAAGGTTTCTATTATTATTTTTGTACAATATATATTGGATTATGAATTAACATGTATATTGGATTGTATTACTACGTATACATATATATTGGAGTATATAATTATTATATAGATATATTGGACTATATATGCACATGTGTAATATGTTATTCGATTATATTAATACGTATATACAGAGTACATTGGATAATATAATTATTTGCTAAGTTCAGTCTGTCAAGTTAGTTTTGCAGTTTACTCTGTCTTTTAATATGCACAATAAATTCCAGTTTTCTGTTTTAATATTTTAAAATTAATTTTAGTGACTAATGTATCACGTCATAAAAAGGTTTTTATTATCGCTTTTACGCATCGGTCATGTTTTTATTTTATCACATTAACTTTTATATTCCTTTGAAACGACCATTTTATAGGAATATGAAATGATGATTTCATATTCCTATGAATATGAAAATAATGATCATTTCCTGTGAATGTCCATTCCAAATTCGTTTTCCTATGAATGATCAGTATGGGCTGCGTGGCAGTCGAAAAATCAGCGAGGTTCGTTCCAGTCCGGCGGAGACACCAGAACTTTAGTTCAATTTCTAAGCAGAGAAATAGCTTTTCCATTGCAAATCTATGAAGCACTACTTTCATGCGTCCAACTGCACAGTAAAAGGCAAAAGCACACAAACTGCACAGTAAAAGCACATGATCGTATTGCTTTTTCTGTGTGAAGTACGTTTCTACCTGCCGGTTCCGGGATGTCATCGCACCTTTATCGTGCCGAGTATGTTCGCGGTTCCTTTTCAGTTACCGTTCTAGAAAACTCGATGTTAACGGTAAACACTGCCGGTTGCCAAACACGCTCGAATGGCTTAAACAGCAGCTAGAGTAGATTTCTCGCTGATACCTTAAAATTTTATGTACAGAAATCTTAATATTACTGATAACTTATCAGTAATGGCGTTAGTGATGCTCGTATAAGGTTTTATGGACGAAAACCAGCATCCAGCTAAGCTTTCAGCATGCTGCACACGAGATCGGGGCCCGATAAAAAAGCTGCTTCGATATGAAAATTTTTCAGTAGTTTCGACAGGCAAAATTATACACTGCACCTCTATAACAGAAGACGTTAACGATGTCCAAAAAGCTCGATGTGGAGGGAAAACCGCTGACTGGGCTGGGAATCTTGAAACTGTTCTGCATATTTATTGTCGAGATTTTATTGGGATGCTTGTCAATCAGCTTAACTGCGTGGAAAATAATACGTAAGAAATCGACGGTCTCATTCAAATCTTCTCAGGGCGTAATATTAAGACAAAGATCTTACAATTTTTCAGCGATACCTCTCTTATGACGGCAAGCATGGCGAAACAGCTGCACTTTTAGGTGTTACGAACAGTTCATAATTATGGCTTTTTTTATAAATTAAAGCTTTAAATATTTATAATAGATAATTACAAGTATTATGGCCGTTTTAACAAAGTTTGAATTCTTATTAAGCGGAAACAGTAAATCTATGTAAGTCATATTTGATAGTACCTGATTTTTTTATTTTGCGATTTGATCTGCGAAGCTGTTTGTGCAGTCTTGATATCGCAAATGTAATTTAAACCGTATTTACGAGAATTTGACAACAGAACACCGGCTCCAGTAATAAAACTGCATATTTGTTGTAGGTTATGACAACCAGCCTGTCTTCCGATTTATGATGTCCAGAGCGCTCGAGTTCGTTGCTGTCATCTGTTTACTTTGCTCGGGTATTCTACGACACCAAGGCATTCGGCGATTCCTGTTCGGACCACCACAGGCTGTCCTGTTCCTGTTTGCCCTTATATTGAATGTTGTCGTGCTGACGCTGCTCAGCACAGAGCTGGTGTGGATCTTGGCTACCCTGGTCAAGATGGTCCTTTGCCACGAGAATGTTGTGCAAGAAGAAACTGTGTGGATGTACGGTATAATCCCGTTTGTCCTCGATTTCCTGATGATATGCACCACGTACCGCGTCTTACCGGCCAACGTACGCTTTTATACGACTATTGAAATAGAAAAAGCCTTGAAAAGGGCTGACGGTGCCGAACAGGAATGTGGAGAGAAAACGGTGGCCGAAAATCATAATATTCCACTGATACTTGTACGCAGTCCGCCTCTCGCTAACGACAGCACTAAAACGGTCGAGGCAACAGGCTCAGACGATTACGAATGTTGACTAATTCAGAAGTTAAATTAATATTATTCGACTTGCCTTCTATTAATTTTATAATAAGAATATCTCGGTTATGCAAACTTAATTTTAATATGTGTTTGTCCACGTGTTTTCATCCTTTATTTGTGCTAATACTTTTGGCTTGACGTGACACAAATGTTGGCCAAAGAGATACGGAAGTTTATTTTTGAAGTGTTTATTTGTGGTTGTTGCGTCAAAAGCACAAAATTACTTGTTCTGTGTGATTCATAATTAATTAAAGCTGCAGAAAATTTATGTGTTACGGGTTACCTGATGACCTCTTCGTTTTTGGGGGAACTTTTTGTACACGTCTTTAAGTTATTGGCAGCTGCTGGGCTACTATGCTGCGCTATAAGATTTTAGAAATGAACCGTAACGTGCGCCTAGTGCCTACCAAAGGGAAACTAAATAGAGAACGCCTCAGAACGGTGCACCGAATGCATAAAATACACGCATCTTTGTCGGAGTAAAATGCTGAAAAGACTGGATTAACTGGAAGACCGTCTTACTATCGCTTCGAAGAGAACGATCTTTATGAGATACTAAGTATGTATACTCGTGCCTGGGCGCCGATTTTGCTGTGTATTCGTGAATTGTGGGCATTAACCCCGGGAGACCCCGCTTAAATTCGCCACTGATTGTTTGTTGAAAACTTGAATGCAATGTGACTATGAACGTAGGAACATTGGCTGACAATTTACAAAAGAAGGCAACGCAGTTGCCGAAATGGTTGCCGGCTTGGATGGAGTGGTTGATATATGTAAATCACAAATGTGGTACCATTCAATTTGGGCAGAAATAGAACCTATTCGATGTTCGCTGTCTGCGTCGGTATTCATTTTTATAAATAAAAAGATAACGCGGGTGCAACAGTGACGTTTTCCGTTGCCTATCAGGCGAAGTGACTTGCAAGACGCAAAATAAAAATAACGCAACGCAACTTTGTATGTGACAATATTCCGATGGCTGATGTTTCGATAATGATATTAATCTTTGATATATAATGTCGTGTGTCCTATGATTTTCTGAATGCACTGCTTCCCATGATATTTGCAAACAAACTGAGAAGCTCAACATTGTAGTGAATTTCGAGATTTTAAGACACATGTGTTATGAGCGCGCTTTGTGTGTTATTGTGTTTTCGGTTGAAGGCAAGCGCAACCGTCACCCCCCGATGTTCGGCTTTTCTTAGCCTGTGACCGACACCGCACACTGCATAAAGCTGTTCTGCTTTTACAGCGCGAAATATACAGTCTAAAAAAACTAAATTTTTGCATGGAACAAGATTTGTTCCTTGGTATTTGATTGGATTTGTTAATTCAAAGACGTAATTTTTTATGGCTGTACCTTACTAACGCCGGTACCCGCTTATAAAAGAACTAACAATCTTACGGCCGAAGTGAATAACGCATTTCATTTGTCTGCCGCAAAACCCCGTGGAAACTACCAATAGGATAATACCGATAGATTAGTACTTAGTAATAACCTCAACTCACGGGGCGATTCACTCCATTTGTGGCGCCAAAACTTGTCCGCCCGGACCTTCGAAGTGTTTGGTCATGGCTGTACTGTAACGGCTCAACCGGAAATTGTTCTATATCCCGAACTGTAGAAGTGCTGTTTTGACAGCACAACTTGCTCATCGGATAACACGATAAAAGGCTCAACAGCATGAGAAAACAACCTTTTACGATTGGATTTCAAAGAATACACAAGCATGCGTTAGTTGATACCGTAACAACTAACAACCCCTTGTGTGCGCTGTTGAGCCCGCAAGAGAAAACGTGCATGCAGCTGCACAATTCTGCTTTAACTGCGGCCTGCCGTCGGCACCTCCTGAAATTCCTATAGCATAGCACACCAGCCTTTATCCTCCTCGATCCTCGCTTTAAAGGTGACTGAGGATAGGCGCGGTCAATCGGTGTTATTAACTGCACACCGATTTTGAGTTAATGTGGACGTTCGTGTCTGATATACATATTATCAGAAATAAATGAGTTTAGGTCATTTATTTCAAATTAAATACTTTTGTTGTCGGTTATGGAAAAGTATTCTTCCTCAACGAGAATAATAAGGTACTTAATTTCGGTTTCTTATACACACGCCGGGAATATATACGGAGGGAAAAAAGTCACAGTATGAGGTTAGTATCCATCCTGAAGTTATACGAAACTGCTATTGTTAGGAGGCGATATAATAGCTACGAGGCAAGTGTCCCTTAATTTAATAGACGCGTTTTGCCTTACCATAATTTGACAACCTAGACCGCAGTGTGCGAACCTGTCAGCCACCATGGGCTGGCAGCGTATAATACAAACGGTTGACTGCATTGCTGCCATTGACGTAACGTTAAAGTAAGTTGGCACTCACACTCGCAAAAACCTCAACCGAACCTACAAACTTACGTTCCAAATGGTGGAAAAAAATCAGGGAATTTTTTGATACATAGCAAGTAAGTTTTCATGGCAAGCAAGGAAAGTTATGAACGTTTGTGGTTCCTCGTAGACATAGCATAAGGTTCGTGCGAAGAGCCGTTGAAGAGGATCCTATGCTATGTCTACGAGAAACCATAAACGTTCATAACTTTCTTTGCTTGCCATGAAAACTTACTTACAGGGTACCAAAAAATTCCCAAATTTTTTCTCCATCATTTGGAATGTTAGTTTGTAGTTGTGATTGAAGTTAAGATGAGTAAATGTCGATTCAGTGAACGTCGAAGTCAATGGGAGCAATGCAGTCACCATTTATGTTACACGCTGCCAACCCATGGTGGCTGCCAGATTCGCACAGTGCAGTCAAGGTTGTCAATTTATGGTAAGGCAAAACGCGTCTATTAATTTAAGGGACACTTGCCTCGTATATTTGCTGCGCCGCCAATTTTGAAGAAGATATCCATGAAATATTGCTCATGCCCATTTCGCTTGATACTTTTCTTGTTAATTATCGGCTGTCGCTCGAGGCATCATTTTCCCAGTGTTATCACTCTATCTGACTTTTACGCGCCGTTCACAGAATAGTGGGTAATGGTACTGGGGATATGTACATAACATGTTTGTCATGTTATGTGCAGACTCGCATTGACTATGATTCGATCTTAGCGGCTAAAACGACAGGACGTCGGTCTCCTTCTTCGCTGATTGTTCATATTATGTATGTGCCAGCTCCCTTTTACACATTAAATTCCAGTTGTTTGTTTAAAAATTTTAAATTAAGCTTATCTGAAAAGACTAATGCAACACGTCGTAGGAAGTTTATATTGTCGCTTTCGTGCACTGAAGTCATGTTTTTTATTTATCACATTAACTTTCGTATTAGAATATCGTGTAGGATGTGTTGTAGCACTTCGCAAAACACTCACACTTGGTACAATAAAAGTTCTATAACGCGCTGACGAAAAGGCAGGTAAGCGTTTTTATTGACCATAGCCAGTAGATTTCTCACCGTAGAAGATAGCTGTCATTCATTTCAGCAAGGCTTAAATACACATATATTCATTTTTGTAAGCCTTGTGTAAGACTTGACTTCGTACAGTATTGTTCGAAGTCCATCAACCGTCAATCGTAAAAAGCTAGATGCTAGGTACAGTACTTGTATATACGTATGTACCAAGTGTGCATTTTCTTTTGAATGATTAGTGTGGGCTGCGTGGCAGCCGGATAACCAGAAGAGTCGGTACCAGTTGGGTGGAAATATCAAAATATTAGTGCATCACCAAGAAAGAAAAAAACCGTTTCTAGATCTGCATAACACATCTGCGAAACACAACTATCGTTTGCCTGATTTCATTTCGCAACTATCGTTTGCCTAATACGGCGAAAGCACATGATCGTGATAACATTTCTGCCTGAAATAAAGTTTTCTACAAAATCGGTTCCGCAGTGTTCGTCGAACTCTTATCGTCCAGAGTATGTTCACCGTTCACGGCTTCTTTCTGGTTACCATTTCTAGAGAGGATGCTTTTAACAGTAAATACTGTCGATGCCGACGACGCTTGGATGGCGAAACAGCAGCCAGATTTCTCACTAATACCGTAAAATGCGTTATCAATCATGGCGTTAGTGCTGCTCGTATAAAGGTTTTATTGACAAAAATTAGCATCCAGCCGTGCTTTCATCACACTGTAATAATCGGATATTGTTGAAAAAGCAGTTCGACAGCAATACTCTTTGGCAGTACAGACAAGCGAATTATGCAGCCAATCACCGCTAGATACATCAAGTTTATTTTATTCAAAACGTTCGCCATGGAGAGAGAATTGTTAACTGCGTGTAAACTCATGAAAATGTTCTGCATTTTCATCACTGAAATTTTACTGGGATTCTTATCAACCGGCTCGATTGTGTGGAAAATCATACGTAAGAAATTAACTTTCCTGTTGAACGATATTGGGGTACTCTTCGTGCAGGAAACTTTCCTATTGAACTTACATAACATTCCTATTGAACTTTCCTAGCTTTCCTGTTGAACTGTACTAAAAGGAAAGTTAACTTTCGTATTGAACGGTATTCAACAAAAATTTTGGGTATAATTCGTACATGACCAATTCGTACAAGAGTCTATTTCCGATGTCAATCGTGTGACATTTTCGACTAATAAAATCCGAAAGATTACCCAGAAAACTGTCACTATTAGCATTACATAACACTGATAACAGTAAATTTTGTGTGAATAAAAATCACATTTTAATGTAAGTCGCATTCAGTACTCGTATCCAGTTTAAGGTATTATTGGCAAATAAAACCATATACGCAATTTTTTAACCACAAAGCACGAGCATCAGTAAACAGTTTTATTTATCGTAGATAAAGGCAACCAGATTAGTTACCGATTTATGCTGCTAAGGACGCTCGAATTCATTGCGGTAATTATTTTCCTCTGCTCCGGCATCCTTCGACACCACGGCATCCGGCGATTTCTGGGCGGATCCCCAAAGGCTACCTTGTTCGCAGGGGCCATTACATTGAATGTTGTCGTTCTGACGATGTACAGCACACAGGTATTCTGGATCCTTTGTGGGGTGGCCGAGATGGCCTTTTGCCAAGAGAAGCTTATGTCTGAAGAAGGCTCTGTGGATGTACAGTGTAACTCCGCTTGTCATCGATTCCCTGATTATATCATGCGTCCTGTACTGCGCCCTCCCAGTCACCGTACGCTTTTTTGCGTCTATTCAAGTAGGAAAAGCTTTAAACAGCGCTGCTGATGCCGAGCATGGATGCGGAAAAGAAACTGTTGCCGAAAATTGCATTCCACTGACACGTGTATGCGGTACTACACCGGCTTGCGAGAACGAACGTTAAAGCTCAGACGAAAACAAATGTTGAGTACGTTGATGAATAATTCAAAATTTATACCTTGAGTATCTCTGAGCTGATCATACAGCATCTTAAGCTGTACGGTGTAATCCGTTTTGCGTGCCTTAATAAACCAAAAATTAATGCCGAATGCGCAGCTATGCTCCATCTGCTTAGTGGGTCCCGGCACGAAGCCCTACCAAAGTGTTACTGATGTGCCGGGCACTTTATTTTGGAAGTACTTTTGTGTGGTTGCTCTTGCATTAAAAACAAAGTCATAACTGAAACTCAAGTGATTTAGGCGATGCTTAAGAAATGCTCTATGGATTTGGAGGTAAGCATTATGCATAGTTTGCGTACCCTGGCCCGCGTATGAAAATAAATGGGAATTTGCTGTGGTACTGCTGTAGTATACTATACCACAAACACATGTAATGGAATCTCCTAATCAAAACCAAGGAGAATTACCACTCTATCATCAGAATTTCAACCCATAAAAATCATTTAATAACAAGTATTAATTAATTCGATTGATTAAAATTTGAAATTAATTCAGTAATTGATAAGGTGCTATCAATAGCGGATTCTCGCCGGATCTAGCGACCTTGATAGTGTTTTGACCTAGCAGTTGCAGATACATAAGACAACGCACACTGCACATGACAGCATTATCTGAATGAAAAAGAAATTATTATTAAGCTCTATTCTGGACCCATTCAATATCTAACGTCAAGAACGGTAATGATACCGGTTCAGAAAAGAGCAGTCCATTTACTCAAATGAGTATCGTCATGAAATATGATTCACAGGTGGATGAGACACAGCGGTTCAGTTTATGAAGATCTCAGATTCTGTTTCCCCATCCCACCTGATCCGCAATGGAAAGCTTGCCTTCTATTAATTTTTGTCTTTCAATACCTGTGACACCGTTTATTGATACGATGCGCAGTTTTAATATCACGAAGAATAACTGCTGTTTGAGCACGAATTGACATATTTCCGCTGTGCATGTACCACAGTCATTCAATCTTACTGCAAGCGCAGGTTTTCGAAACGAAATTCATACTTTACGTTTCGATTTACTGCTTTAATATCGGAGGAAGTAATCAAACGAAAAATTGATTGCGGAAACCATGAATTTTTCAAGTAACAACAAATCCTCCAGCTTTTCAAACACGTCCAAATCCCTCCCGAATCTTCCTGCTTCTACACTCATCCCATGGGCTGCGGTATATTTCACTCAATGTTTTGCCGGAGCCGCTTGCAATCTCCTGCTGATTTTCCTGATTTTCACTAGCGGCAAACTGCGTGCTGGCTGCAGTCTGCTAATTGGTCACTGTCTCATACCGCAGTTTATATTGTGTTCCGTGGGACTGCCGCTGAATGGCGTTCTCCTTTATGGTCATCAAGTACACCGCTGGCAATTGAACACACATGTATCCTGCAATGTCACACTATGGATCGCCATGACCTGCCGGTACGCCAATAACTGCATTGAAGCTTACATCGGCGCTAATCGGGTTGTGGCGCTGTTTAAACCGCACCAGTACCGCGCTTTCGCCCGTACCAGAGTCGAGCATGGCACTGTAACAATCCTGTGGATTATTTCCATGTTTTTAGCGGGTTTAGGCTGCTTCGATCTGGGCATCCGGTATTTCGTGCTGCCTCTCGGATCTTGCGGACTGGACCAGAAGGATATGGTGGGAGCAGTCACTTTTGCTCTCGGATACTATGTGCCGCTGGTCTTTGCGGCCGTTGGCTATTGCCTGATATATATCAAAATGGCGGTGAACCGGCGCAACCGCACAAAAACCTTTCCCGTGGTTCACGTGTCGCAGTTCCGCGACAGCGATACCGCCGGCACGGTACTGCATAATGGAAGGAATACTGCAGAGAAAAGACGCGTCAGCAAGCTGAAAATGGTATTCGTGGCGTTCTTCTGGAACGTGCTGTGCTATTTAATTTGGCCGGTGGTGGTCATGTTCGCTCCGCATTTGCTGCAGATTCCGTTAGCGTCACTGGTGTTTGGAAATATTACGCCCCTTGGATATACTATCACTCCGGTAAGCCTGGATAGTCTGAGTTTTTGTCCAAATCTGCTGCCTATGTAATCCCTCCAGGAGATATCTATTTGGCGCAAGTTATTTTAAAAGGAATGTTTATGCATGACCTTCAATCTGTGCATTGCGGTTCGATATGCCTGCTGCTGGCAGTGACAGCTGGCTCGTTCCCTTGAGATTTAATTTTTATTTGCAGATACTTTTCCTTGGTATGAGCGGGGACTATCAAAAGGAATGGCGACGCCTCTTCCATGCCGCACAATATAAACTACTATTCAAAAAGCTGTAGATATTAGGTACTGGTGGGAAAACCGTTTACAGGTCGTTCGTGCATGACCGTAATAATTATCTAGCTTGTATAAATATTTCATCGGCTATTTCTCAAAATCAAAACACGAAAACACAACGGTGTTATGTGCAAAAATGACGATTTTCCTAGCACTGAATGAATTTGCTAGAAGCGAAGTTTGGTATTAAAATCCGTTGATCATTTTTGCCGCATGAAAGGAGATCAGAAGAAAGCCTTACGCACATCCTCCTTACACATGATTGATCTGCCACGGACTCAATGTCAAAACAAGCGCGGAATCATTAATCTACATGATACGTCTACGGTGAGGGACCTGGTGCATACGTCCTCGATAGAGGGTGAACGGTGTACAGTGTACACTCTTTATTCCGATGAAATAACGCTTATCGACAATGGTAATATGCTTTTAATGAAATTGTAATATCTTTTGAACATCACGTCCCGTGATTTTCTTGTGCACTGATCAGTTTTCCTCGTCCTACGCAACCGAGATGCTTTATTGCATTGAATTATGGGATAGTAGATCACATGAATTACTGTTAGCATACTTTTGTAATTCCATGTTCTATTCCGAAATAAGCGTGTCAGCCGCCTTTTGACGTCCGACTTTTCTTGGCTTGCTGCTTATCGTGTGTACTATTTTAAGATATTCTGTATTTAGAGCGCGAAATACTATAGAATGTCTATTACAAGGCACATTTTTGTATAGGACTAAAATTCCACCAGGGCTATGTGTAAATCCAAAGCGAGTAGGAAATTACTAGGAACTCTTGTACTGAAGCTTTTCAATCGCTAACGTAACTACGGTGAAGCGTTCAAGTTTGAGCGGGGATCAGTATCTCACATGCGTCGATGGGCGGCGTCTTTGATGTACGGGAGAATACGTCAGGGAACGTGCTGCAATATTAAGTTTACATGGTTATCATAAAAAAATGGTTACACAACTTACACGTACCCCATTGTAAAAAATATTCCTAAGGCTGTAGAGCTGATTTTTCTCTGTCCAGTGGTATGTGCCACGTATTTGTAGGAATATATTTACGGGGTGTCGCTGCTTGTTAGTTGTCGTGGTAAGGTTATACTTATTTACGAATGACAGTAAGCTGCTACACACATCACGGGGATCACCAGCAGTTGTTGGTCCATGGTGTAAGAAACCGGGAACTCTGACGATCGCTGTCAGCAATGTCATTCAAATCTGACGACTGCGAGATTTGCGTTAGCCAAGTTTGCATCTGCCGCAGTTATGTGCTGGTAAATAACAGAGTTCCCGGGTCCGAGTACCTTGTACTCCTGATGTTGCTGTATCCACTGAACTGGAGTTTGCGTAAAGTTTGAGTATGCACATAGCCCATACATAAGTACATAAGTGGCATAATTACTACGTATAATCCAAAAGTGCCGCGTATAACGGCACATCCATTAGTTCCATAGGCATGCTTGCCTAAGATACCTATCAGTCAGTGCTTTCCGTCATTATAAACAGCATTTTGAACAACGTCAACGCAAAAATCCTTTGTAGAAAGAAGCAATAACTTGTTGGTGGGTGATTTTTTTTGTCTGTTGGTTCACTACCGCTGGGATGCGGTTGGAGGAAAATGAAAAAATGAAAATGTAGAATACAAACTGGCGTCGTCCAACGGTCCAAGCTATGCGATCAAGGATCGATAATTTTGGAAAGTTACAGTACGTTTGTGTTCTATTTGTTTGAACCGGAAATCGAAAACGTGCAGGTGGATTGCGTGAATTTCTTTCGCATGACATTTTTTGTACTCACTTTAATGACAAACCGATTGAATATCATGTGTGGATCTTACTGTACCATATGGATGGCGGAAGGGTGCTAACATCCCATGTGTGTCTTATCCCCTGTCCGTGTCCCACGTCAGTGAATGCTTTGCAAATTATTCAAAGTGTATTCTGGAATGTCCTATCCGGTTTAGTAGTTTATCTGCATTGTATCCGTGCTCGCAGTGTAATAAATCTCATGAAGTAGCAACCTAAAACAATATTTGAACAAATTGTAGATTAAGTGTTATCACTGCTCACTGGACACAAAAGCAAATAAAAAACGATAGATAGAAGTGGTTGCACTAGACTTTCCATTAAGATACTTTTTCAACGTTCTGGAAACGTGTTATCAACACTAAACACGGCGTTCTGCAAGAACACTCGGATAGCAGCAGCTGCAGCGACATGCTCCATTAAAAGGATGGGTCTTTGATTTATCATGAAGTCGCTATTTCCGGCTCGTAAATGGTTCTGTTGACGAAAATCGCGGCCCGCTAGCAACTACCGTTTTCGCTACAGGTGCCACTCTATACTTGTAGAGAAATTTTCAGCGTTACAGTTCTTCCCGCAACTGTCATTACGACCAGGTCTAAGTTGTCAGAAGCTTTATCATGGATGAAGAATGGTACACAATACGTGAGCTCAAAAAGCTGTTCTGGAATTGCATTGGAGAGCTTTTCTTAGGGTTTTCGACGAGCGGCATTGTTGTTTGGAAACTCACACGTAAGAAAGACGACACTCCGTAAGAGTCACCATTAGGGTGCAATTGATGCAAATTATTTGACGATTTTCTTGTACTGGCATTCTTTTTATTATGGCGATAAGCGTTGGGATGCCAGCTGCATTTGTTTCATGTCGCTTGATATACGAAGTACGTGTTCATGGATTTTTGATCAAAAGTAATGTTTAAATTCATATTTTAATGACTTCAGTAAAATGTAAATACAGTACTTGATGTACTATCTATTAATGTAGTATTATTGTAGTATTATTGTCGTTGAATATTATCTGGAAACGCAGCGATCGTCTTCTTCATAGCTTATGAACTGCGATTTATACTGAGGCAGATGGCCCGCCAATTCCCACCATAAAACACCCTTCTCAATAAGTGCATCTACAAGAAGTTACTTTTATTCTCTGCAGATAAAGACTATCAGCTGGATGTTGGCTATTTGGTACCAAAGATGGGCCTTTTAACGGCAATGGTTGCATGTGTGGCCATAATTGTGTTCTGCACCGGCATCATCGCACATTACATCATCTGGCGGTCCAGTGCTGGATCCCTGCAGAATGCCAGAATCCTCTGGACAGGTATGATGCACGTGATTGTGCTGAACATGTTCAGCATAATGATGTTCTGGATCGGAGGAAGCTTGGTTATTAGGTACTTCCACCCGGAGAAACTTGTGTTGAGCGAATCTGCGTGGATGTACGCTTTCATGATAATCCTCTTCGGCGTTCTGATTATTGACATAACTTACCACGCAGTAAAGATACACGGTCATTACACTGCTCGCACAGGCGAAGTTCTGAGTATTGCCGAGGATGCAGAGCAGGATTGCAGCGCGGAGATGGTAATAGATGCGGAGACCGTGAATGATAACCATAATCAAGTTATGTTACACAGTCCGCCATGTCGTCACCCGCATCTATTGATGTTGCGAACGGTTACGGCAACAAATGACACAAATAAAAATGTCATTGACTGGATTACTGAATAATCCAAACATTTACGGCGCTTTAACTTTATTTAAAGTTGTTATCCCAGTGATCAGTGAATCAGATCACAAAAATGTCCAGTTGTAAACCTTCCCTTCAGGTTTCAAGTTTTTCTGGCGAAAGCGTTGCCACAAATGATCTAACGTGCTGGAATTTTTTTATAAACCTGCGCATTGCGTATTGCTGCTGCGTTTGAGAGAAAACAATGGGATGCAGCTTGCTTAGATTGGACGACGTGTAAGAAATTAAAACTGTTTAGCTGTTAGTTGAGGACCATTTGTTCGGTGTAGATACTACCCACGATAGACAGCCGATATACGTTTCATGCTTCGTAAGTAAGTACCTATACTTCTACTACTATTAATTCCATCATTTTATCACTGATACGACACGTTTCAGCTTTTGGATCATCGAGCCTTTTTTTCAGACGATAATGATATCCAGAAACGTTTAGGTCAGTGGACTACCGACTTTTTACCTTGAGATGATAACAATGATCTAGGAATCAGTGTATAAGGCGGCGATGTTCTACAATTTCGCCAGGCCGAAACTTAGAAAAGTATGGAAGTCACTAAATCATGAATATTAACCTTATAATTGCACATTATGATCTCAGCACCAGTCGGTATAATGGAAACTTGGCACGGTGCAAAGATATGGATTATTATCACGGAATTACCTAATGTCGCCTTCTACTCAACATCCGTACTCGTATGGGACTCACCGCCATCGCAGCATCAGATGATCAAACGTCCCACCTTTAATATTGGATAGGTATATGAAATTTCATGACAAAAACATTGACCCTTTTGCAGAGCAGCGGCAGTGCGGCTATGATTACTAAGCCAGAGCTTTTCTGTCGAACTGAAAATGCACTTTACTAAGTCTTTAAGTTATCAATTTCCAGTTTAAACAAGTGTCATACTTGACGTAAAACTCCAAAATTTTTTAATACTGTCACATGGCTCGCAGTCGACTTTGAACCAGATAGCTTGGGCGGTGCAGTGTGTTAACAACTTTTCATGCTGTCATTTACCGCAGAACGATGTGTTAAGTACTTGACTTGTACTATCACCTTCCACATATCACAACGAAGCTGTTGCATGAACAGGAATTTGCAAATAAGTAGAAGTATTCAGTCAACGGGAAACACAACCGCGGCTTTTTACTTACATTTCAATCACCAATTTATAAATTTAATGCTTTCCCTATCATTTTTCAAATTGCATTGTTTCATGAGTATGAAAAGTCGTGATGCTGGGCAACAAATCATTTCAAAATCTTGAATTTAAGCAAATGATTTTTGACATCTGACGTGTTGATCGTCCGACGTTTTTGATGTGCTGTTCAAATAGTAACCATACCGCATGAAACGGAAGCTCCGAAAATTTGATCTAACAGGAAATCGAAAACGAACACGGCTTTCACAACGATGACGCTACAACATGAAATCTGACAACGGTATAAAAACACACAAAAGAGTTTCATGGCTAGATGTCAATTTTCGATTCATAGGAGCAAAGTGAGCTTTGGAAGTCGGTTTCCGGGAGCTGTATAGAGTATGCGGTAATAGCTGCACTCTCTGTTTCGAAAGCGGCTTACTGATTGCGGCAGACCATCATCAAATTCACTTCTGCCAATGGTAAACCACATTGTTATTCCAGTTGGGCCGCAACCGTGCTCTCGCAATGATAAACCCCCGCGAAATTACTGGCAGTTCTGCAAACTTTGGAAGCATCGCGTTCTTCTGCCTTCGTCAAGAAATGCCAATGGTCTTGATATCTTATCAGGACACGTATGAAGTATCGGGAATGAGCACTTCTACCGTACAGTAAAATGACCTGTTCCGAAACATTATTTGTTAAGTAGCAGGTCGTCTTCCTGTACAACCGGATCGAACCATACATATGTGGATGCCGGACATATGAACCCCACCGGAAATATTGACTTGGGACCACGCTGGTAAAAAGTAACAAGGAACTAGAGAATTCCAGCAGATGTCCAGGGACTGCGTCAGCAAATTGTTTAGGCGCTGCGCAGCAACGACTGACAGCCGGCGAACTAACTGACATCATAATCCACATCGATGCCCGATCATTTCCGTGGAACTGTTTGCCGTTCTCTTCCTCCAGAAGTATGCAGTCTACTTGGTACCCGACGCATTATCGCGATGAAACATCGCCCGAATTCTAGGCTGACTGCTGATGAACGTTGGCCGCGGTTGATTTGAACGCAACAGATGCGTGCAAACCTACCTGGACCGCCGTTCATTAGGACTGCAGTATCTTTTTTTGGCTATCAACGTGGTTATCATGAACATCGCGATGAGTATAAGGAATACGTAGTCGAATGAAAATGCTACTCGCCTGAAATTGGGACGCGTGTTTTGCTATCTTTTCACCGGAAAATGTTTGTGTTCGCGGCTCATGGGTATGTTCCACGACCCCAGCTATCTGTATGAAGCATCTTTACAGTAATAAGTCTTGTTCCGCAAAATCTAAGAAGAAGCTTGTGACTCCAAGTGCGCTGTAAATGCCAAACGGCGCTGTAAATGCCTTTTGTCGGCTAGATTACATTAATTTATCGTACTGCAGGCCGCACCGTAGTCACTTTTGCGCTATGAGTTTAATCTGCTTAGAAAATCATTTTTTGACTTCGCCAAAGAAACACGAGGATATTCCAGACCGCAAAAGGAGAAAAATTAGCAATCAGTCATAACTATCATTTCCACACCAGCGCTTGCAAACCCCTGTTACTCAATCATATGGCACTCTTCGCTACCACAATTTTCAATCATTGCGCCTTCAACACTGATGGACCATATATCACTCCATTAAGCCCCGATAACTTTGGTTGCTTTTTAGAAGTACTTTAAAATGATTATGTGCTTTATTTATTAGTCTCGCATCTTATTTATGGTGATAAGTTCACATCACCCGATCACCCAATGCACGTCACCGGATGCAGCAGTGTTTTTCCCACAAATGACGTTTTTCCTGACATGTTGTCGTACATGTGCAAAAATAGTACATTAATTTTATAATTCTCGTAAATCGACAAATCGTAACCGAATCTGCTAGCGCTGTTGTTAACTGCCAGCAACATCTTGACAGCGGTCGCTAAGAACGCTCAACGCTTCTGCGTCTTTCACATGGAAATTCGCAGTATGTATGTTCCACCCATGGTGAATGGATTTGTTTAACGCAAAGTGTGATAATAACATCTTATGCTTCATCAGTGTTTGCGGTTGTGTAGAGACGTCGTAGTATGTACAAGCCGGTCCGGAAGGTGTTCTGTTTTTAAAGCGCAAAATACAAAACTTAAGAGAAGGTAAATTTATCAAAAAAGGATAGAATGTTAACTGCTAATTGGATTTGCTAGTTAAAAGGTCAGGATTTTCAGACGGCAGTGGTTTAGCTACGCAAATTTGTGTTTGTTGTTCAGATAGTACTGGCATCCCGAGTCGTGAGTTCACAGTAAAAACAAAATCAGTTCATAAGTCGTAAAAATATCTTGCGAAATACCGGTTGCGTCATAGAAATCGGAGATCCGCATGTATTGTACAACAATTTTTACATTCCTCTCGTGTACCAACGCTATGCCACTAGCCTGTATTTGGATAGTTAAATAAACTAGTGACTTTTTGCTTAAACGGGAAGTGAAAGCAACGCAGATGAAATTGCAGATCAATGCTACCATTAACCAACGAGAGAAAGATGATCGAAGGTCGAAAGGAGGCACGCGATTAAACCAGTTGCAGTACAAAAGATACCTGCAGATCAGTAGCAATGAATTTGGTTCATCTGACGCACTTCATCAGCGTTCTTTGCATTTGTCTGCGAAGGGTGCAAATATTCGCTGAGAGAACAGTTACATGTCCTCACGGTGAATACTTGCGTCCTTCTTGCATGCAAGAACAGTGAAGAGCTGCTTCGTTAATCACGTACCGCGTGCGCGTGCAAGCTAATAAGAGAATTGCGACCGCCTGCTAAATGCTATCGGCGTTCCTAGCTCGTCCTTCCCAAATAGGCGGAGAAATGTGAGTTTGCTCCGTTCCTTTTCCATTTGTTAGTGTCCAATGGGTGCACTTTATCGTGAAGTTGGAGTTCATTGTTAATCAGACTACATTATGCCCCAGTATAAGCTGTACTGGTAGAATCAGTACAGCCTATTTTGGAGCATAATGTTTGATTTTGTCTCGGACAACATTGACTGTCTCACTCAACTTGCAGGAAATTAACAGAAATTTGGTAGTTACAGTCACGATTTTTCGACGGAAAGCCATGGTCATTCTTCGATCTTCTCTTTCCACAGAGGAAAGTCTGACCGGAAGGAATGTTTGGCGATTTGTGGCACGCTAGCAAAGAAGAAAACAAACAAACAGTTTTGTGACCAACGATAAAATCCATCACGAAATTGCTACGAACTTATACAGTTCGTGTGTAGATTTTGACTGCAGTACTTTCATAATACTCATGTGTGGCTCAGTACATACATGTACAGAGTACTTCATACCTGTATGGCTGCAGCTTCCGCTTTGAGAGAAGAAGTTCTTTCAGCTCTTTTTTGATTTTCTTTTTTTTTGGTTCGCTATGCTGTAATGTGGGCAGAATGTTATAAGTGGCCTCTCAGCGGTTATAAACAGGAATGCACCAAATAAACAAAATGGAGGTTATCATCATTTTACTCAGTGCCAGTGGGACAGCAGTGGAGCAGAAGTAAGACGTTCCCAGAGATGGTGGTTATTTGATGCCTGCCACCATGTTTGGATATGTTTTATTTTTGCCGGAGCTACAGGTCAGTAAGGTCCTTTCACAGGCACCGCCGTACCATCTGAGGCGCTTGCAGCACCCGACACGACAAAACAGAAAGTCGTGGCAACTATTCTATAATAGACGAGGTTAATGATTTTCTTGCAGGAA